AATTGGGATGACATGGAAAAAATTTGGCATCATACGTTTTACAATGAACTTCGTGTTGCTCCGGAGGAGCATCCGATTCTCCTCACTGAAGCTCCTCTTAACCCAAAGGCTAATCGTGAGAAGATGACCCAAATCATGTTTGAAACCTTCAATGCTCCTGCTATGTATGTTGCTATTCAAGCTGTTCTTTCCCTGTATGCTAGTGGTCGCACAACTGGTAAGCCATTTATTTCATCTAAAATATGATTAATTTCGATTTGTCTCACAATGTTTTGCGTACCATGTAAAGGTTTCTCACTAGGAAGCTTTGATAATGTACCTTGTTTGACACTTAAAGTTTGGGAGAAATGAAAATTTGAAACATAGAATATGATTTATAAGAAGATTTTGTGTTTGACATAGGCAAAGAAGACTTTTTTCTTACATCATATTGCAAATGTAATTATATAGTTATGCTTGGCTGGCTGTACTTAATAGGCTAATGCAGAGTTATGTGATGTGAGATATTTGTGTTTGGTGCAGGCATTGTGCTTGATTCTGGAGATGGTGTTAGCCACACTGTCCCTATTTACGAGGGATATGCTCTTCCGCATGCCATTTTGCGTCTCGATCTTGCTGGTCGTGACCTCACTGATGCCCTGATGAAGATTTTAACTGAGCGAGGTTACTCATTCACCACTACAGCTGAACGGGAAATCGTGAGGGATGTGAAAGAAAAGTTAGCTTACATTGCCCTTGACTATGAACAAGAACTAGAAACTGCCAAGACCAGTTCTGTTGAGAAAAGCTATGAGTTGCCTGATGGTCAGGTGATCACCATCGGTTCAGAGCGGTTCCGATGCCCGGAAGTCCTTTTCCAGCCATCTATGATTGGCATGGAAGCTGCTGGAATCCATGAAACAACTTACAACTCCATAATGAAGTGTGATGTCGATATCAGAAAGGACTTGTATGGCAACATCGTGCTTAGTGGTGGCACCACCATGTTCCCTGGGATTGCCGATAGAATGAGCAAAGAGATTACAGCACTAGCTCCTAGCAGCATGAAGATTAAGGTAGTTGCACCACCTGAGAGGAAGTACAGCGTGTGGATCGGTGGTTCCATATTAGCATCCCTCAGCACTTTCCAACAGGTAAGTTCATATCACACATATATCTTTGCAAAATCTTGTCGAAGCACTTTACGAGCAATTCTCTAACACTGGACTGTACTTTTCGTTTAATCGTAGATGTGGATTGCTAAAGCTGAATATGATGAATCTGGCCCTTCAATTGTGCATAGGAAATGTTTCTGAGCACAAGCAAGGAAAAGGTAGGCTGAGCCTCAATAACTGCTCCGTCCGACTAAGTAAATGTTTCTTGCAATTTCATATTTTGGTTCGTCATCTCTTGTTTCTTTCTTTTTTGGTTCCCTCTTCGTATGGATAATAATCCTGAAAGAATTTATGACTGTTGGAATATATATATTCAGTTATCATCTTTTTCTTTTTTTGGTAGTAAGAATTGTTTTCTAGTTTGCTAATGAATGATCAAATCCTTAATATTATAAATCAATTTAGAAAATTTCAAAGGCTCTTTTATAATTTTTCATGATTTTGTTCTTTGAGAAAATTTGTTTTGGTTGAAAAGTTCATAACAAAAACCACAAGAACCAAAATCATAAGTTAATATTTGATGTTCTTGCAAAATTCAGCAATTATTAAGGAGAAAGACAGGTAAAGGAGTGAAAGTACTTCTACAATCAATGTATTATGGGTATGTGAGCAAACAATTTCTATATGTTATCTCCGGCACCTTCGGATTGTAACATTTACATCTTAAGGATTCGAGTGTCATACGGAATCATTGAAGTAATTTATTTTGAAATCATGCTAAACTTTTAAAATATTTATACAAACTATGAAATCATAATAATTTATAGAAGCGTGATTCTAATTTTTAAACTTAATTACATACAAAAAATTAAAAAAAAATCATGATATTATGACTTGACCATTTATAAATCATAACCGTTACATGCCCAATAAGTCATCATTATTATACTCTGATATTCTACTGAGATTTCTCCGATGATATTGTCATCCTAATCACACTCTTCGAAACTTGTAATCTACCAACATAAACACATTTCAAATATTGAGCTAACAAGTTTAGTGTCACACAATTATTCCACTATACTCCATGCATTCATAACATAAGTATATCAACGAGTATAATTAGATAAGCAATTATATCAACGTCATCAATGTTATAAAACCATCTACCCCATGCATATCCCCAGTCCCAGTTAAAATGCAATAACGAGGATGAGACTTGGGTCACGAAGCTCAAATATCCATCCAGGCATAATATCATGCTAAGTATGAAGTTCGGGTCACGAAACTCAAACACCTATCCATACACCATATCGCATCAAGAATGAGACTCGAGTCACAAAGTTCAAACACTCATCCAATGAGACTCGAGTCAAGAAACTTAAACGCCACACACAAGATTACAATGGTAAACGGAACTTTCATCATTGTTTCACGAAATTATAGTGATAAAAAAAATATCAATTAAACGCATTATTAATCATACATTGTATCATTGTAGAATTGTTCGATATCAGAATTCTTCAAGTAGATCTTTTCTGCTCCCAGATCTTCCTCGCCAGCGACAACTCTTTTTTTTTAAGATATACTTTAATTTGATACATATTGAACCATAAACATGACAATGGCCCTCAAAATATATAATTTTTTAATGAATAAATTGGGACTGGAGTGGATACATACCTAGCAGACATTTACACAATTGAATCTGAATAATATTGTACTTATTTGATAAAATAAATAAATAAATTATTTGACCATCTCATGGAAGATGGGTTGAGAAAAACACGAGGATAGTCTCAATTATGTAGCACAGGTACGATAATTCAGTGTCGTATAAGTTTCTAATACGTTTTTAATATGGGTATAGGATAGGTATAGCTTAAGTATTCATTGGGGACGTCCCATGTTTAAGTGGTACGATTGAAATTATAGGTACGTCGGAAAAAATTCTGAAGATGTACAAGAGACGATATTTAACATTCACATACCCAAAATTGTTTTTAAGATTTAAATAATAAAAAATAGAATATATATGAATTATGATATGGTTTTATTTTTTAATTAGGATATAATTTCTATTATAAAGAAGTATTCTTTAGATCCGAAAACTTGGTGGACTAACTTTAGTACCAAAACTCCATTGTTCCAATCTTTAAATTTCGAAGTGCTTGGACCATTTACTTTAACCTCTTGTTATGAATGAAATTGGAGTACTTATTCCTTCATCCACTCACTTAAGAGAAACAAATTAAATCCAAGCCATGTAAATGATTTGGCTTACATCCACTACAATTTCAATCTTTCATCAAAGAATTCTAATCACTTATGATCTCTTCATATCTTTATATCTTTTTTAAAATTTATTTTATACTTAACGAACTCTTATCGTATTCGTACTCTATAATTTTAGAAATTATTCTTTCTAGTAACCTAAACCATTCAAATTAAACAAAAAGCAAAATCCCATTTGATAACTTTGCGCCAACACAAAAGAAAGTGTTAGCCTGTCCCTGGAGAAACCCTTCATGAGTCCACCAATGGCCTGTGTTAAACACCAGCACGTTGGCCATTCGCCATGCATTTCCGTTTCCAGCATAATGAGATAATTTATAGAATATATTTGAATATTTTGTTCTCATGACTCGTACATAGAATCTTCCATCTTCACGTTTTTACCTATAAATGTTTTTTTTTTTTTCATAAGATATGAATGGGTTTAAGGATATTAAATCTCAAATAAGGTAAATTAGGTTTAAGGATTAAATTTTCTTTATTTAAAATTGAAGAAGTGACCGGTCAATCCAATGGGCTCTCCATCGTGGTGATCAAGATTGTCAGGTTAGCGATTAACGGGCATTTTTTTGAAATTTCATAAATAATAAGACTAGAACTCAAGATCTTCTTAAATAATATCAAATTGCTTACCACTTGAACTAATCTCGTTAATTCTACTCTAGTTAGTTTTTAATATTTTTATTCACCTTCTAAGATTGAATTATAAAACCAATCGATCTCAGTTTGATCAAAGCTTTACCATCTTGACTTCAAATACATGTCAAAATGCTTTTCAAAATCAATAATAGGTGGGATTTGCCCAAATTTTTTCTTTTTCTTTAGTCGTCGTTAATATTTCCATCTTTGTGATCGACGGCGACATCAGTTTTAATGTTGATTGCGGACCATTGATATTCATTGTTTTTCTTTTATTTTATTATAGCATATCTTCGCTCTTTTTTTTTCTTATTTTTAAATTTTTAATAACTGTCTTTATGACACATTTTCTTCTACCTTTATGGCACGTTTTCTTCTGTATTTATGATACATTTTCAATCGTTTGACTATTGTTTTTGTTTATTCTTTTTTTTAAGGTTATATTGACATATCTATGACTGATCAAAATGACACTTATTTATTATCATACTAATCTTTCTTGTTTTGGTCCATCAAATTAGATTTGAATACGCGACTTGCCTTCGTGAATAATTTTTCACATCACTCGACTCTGATTTGTAATTTATCGATGATATTTCAATAGTGTGATCCATTTTTGTGATTTATTATCGATACTGTCTAATTTGTTTGTATTTACCTTTTTTCGAGTTTATTTGATTAGGTTTTTAAACATTTTTCTTATAAAATTCTTATTTGATCTTAAGTGACTAATTTTCTTTTGTTAATAACTAGAGGAAAATATCCTTATTATGTGTTTAGTTTACAATTGTAATGGTAAACCTTCGTTATAATTTGCATATTTTCTATTTTTAATAAAACTAGCAACTTCTAAAAAAATCATCACAGTTACGGAAAGAATCTTTCATTTACAGTGTAAAGAGTTCAATTTGGATAAGTGGAGGAAGCAAATTACTGAGGGAAAAAGATAAGCTTGTATTATAGAGAGAGACACTATGCAGGCAGCACCTCAGGTTCCAAGGGTGTTGAACCATTGTTATCTTGTATAGTTTTGGCATCTGTTGAGGCTTTGTCTTCTTCTTCTTGGAACCCTTGCTTAAACCTATCATAATTAGTGGGTTCAGTTGACTTAAATGGTCATTCCCCAAGTATACGAACCAAGTCTTCCTGTGAAGGACCTCTTTCTCCAGAAGCAATTCCGCTATCCAAGCAACATGCTCCTTGTGCTCCTCTATCAGTTGCACCGTTCGTTCATATGCCTTACCCACCCACTCTCTAACTTCGCTGTCGATAATCGCACCTGTCTTGCTGCTATAAGGCTTGGTCATCTCAAATGCATCATCCCTTTGAGGGAAAGAAAGAAGACCAACCTTGTCACTGAAACCATATACCGCCACCTGAGCATATGTCATCTTGGTTACTTTCTCCAAGTCATTTTGAGCTCCAGTTGATATTTTCCCCAACAATTCCTATTCCCCATAAATAAAAGAAGCAATGATACAAGTGCAAAAATGTTACAGCTAAAACATCTACCCAAAGAGGAGCAGTTGTGAAAATTTGAGGCATAAATACCATCTACGGTTTCATCTCAACTTTATAGCCAGTCGCAAGCTTTGAATATTGAAGTCCGAGCCCAACCCATATCTTAACCAGGCCTAGCATTTTTATCCAAACTCTCCCAAATATCGGTTGGGCCTTCAGGCTTGGACCTTAAAAAAGTCTACCTAGGAACTGAATGTTCAAGCACTGAAGAGGCATTAATTCAAGTTAAATAAAAGCATATGATGTTTTCTGAAATCTGAATTCAGTTCTCCAAGTTCAGGATGATATTTATATAAAAAACCATGAGAAGTTGCTCTGAAATTTCACCTGCTCAGCAGCTCGACCACCTAGTGTCATGCAAGTCACATCAAACAGCTGCTCTTTGGTCATCAGAAGATTTTCATTAGGAACATACTGAGCAAACCCCAGTGCTGCGGTACCACGAGGAACAATTGTTACTTTAAGCAACGGTTCTGTATGTTCCAAGAACCAACCAGCAACAGCATGGCCAGATTCATGGTAAGCAACAGTTAGCCTTTCCAACTTGCTTATAACCTGCAAAACAGAATAAAATTGTCACAAAAGATAAAGCTTCATAGCATACTAGTAGCTAGAAGAACTAGTCAGAAATGAAAAACAGATAGATTATCGATCTTACTTAAACTGGAGAATGGAGACCAGACAAAGAACAAGTAATAAAAAATTAATTTTATAACCGAAAAACCATATTTTGATATTTAGAAATTCAAATCACTCAACTTACGCTTAATTACATCTCCAGTAGCATAATCAAACCACATATATTGAATAGAATTTCAATAATATAACGCAGCGCATAAGTAAACAAAGGAGGCAAATGATGAGGAAGAACATAAACCACCTATTACTCTGTCTATAGCTGTTGAAAATTCAATATTAGCCTAAATAAGTTCACACCTAAATTAATTTGATGTCATTGCTTACATCAATTTAGTTTTAATGTCATTGCTTACATCAATTTAGTTAGGTGAAAATTAAGTATTTTTCTCATGTTTTAATTTCAATGGTTTAGATTATTTAGTGATTATTTTAATGAGTGTTTAGATTGTTTCTTGTAACCTATAAATACCCTACTTGTATTTGAGTTTTATCATCCAACAATCAAAGCTTAATTATAAGCATTTGAAAGCTTTCTTAAGAGTTATTCCCTTTTGCAATTTTGTGAGATTATTCTAAAGAGAGTTTTTCTTCTTCTCGATCAATTAGAGTTTTTACTCTATTTTGATTTAACAATTGGTATCCGAGCCACGTTTTTAAGGTCTCTTGAAATTCCAAGTATGCTCTGTGGCTGCAGTTTTTAACTGATCTTCCACATCAGAAAAGATTTCTTGAGATTATTGTCGGGGTTATTACAAAACTTTGTGGAGCTTATTTGTGTTTAGAGTAATTTAGTACTCTGCACATTTGTTACTCAAGCTTGTTTGGTGTAGTCAAAGCCTTGCCGTTAAGATGGGTGATCTTTGTTGAAATATTTTAATATTTCGATATAACAAATTAAGTTAAATGGATTTTAAGATTTTCCAAATGATTTTCTAAGTATATTCGATATAACTATTCGAATATCAAAACATTACTCCAAATATTCAAAAATCATTTTTAATCCTTACTTAAGTGTAAAATTAAGTTTTAATCATAAAACAATTTCAAAATAATTTTACAAAGTATTTCGAACCAATTCAAAGCCAAAAATTACAGATTGCTCAGAGGGAACCGATTCCCCCCCATAGGAGGAACCGATTCCCCCCTGAATGGTTTGGCTCCGAGATTTTCAGAATGCTTGGAGGGAACCGATTCCCCCCATAGGAGGAACCGATTCCCCCTAAACATTTTTGTTCCGAGAATTCCAGTATGCTCGGAGGGAACCGATCCCCCACCAAGGGGGTACCGATTCCCCCCTGTTCAACGGTCGAAATATTTGAATTTTACACTTAGGGAACCGATTCCCTATGAGGGGGAACCGATTCCCCCCACGCTCCAAGCTGTTTTATTAAATGTTTTCACACTAAAACGGCTATAATATCTTCTCTAATCATCCCCAACGTTCAGAAGTGATCCAAGGTGTATTTAAGCAAGCTTAGAAGCCATTGATCAACAACAAGAAAACATCAAGCAACTAGAATCAAGAGAGAATCAAAGAGAAAGCATCAAACCTCAAGTTTGAGCATTTCAAAGCCTATTTTCATTCAATATTCATTTTGCTTTCAAGAACACTTTTTGTGCTCAATTGTATTCATCTTTGAGTGTTCTTTTCTTTGTTCTAGAATTGTGCAAACATCTTACCTTGTGAGGTTTTCTTGTAAGTTTGCAAATTTGTAATCTTCTCTTTGAGAAAAGAGTGTTCTCAAGAGTTGGGGTATACTCTTGAGGGAATTGTAAGGTTATCTCTTTGGCCTCAAAAGAAAGAACAAATTAGTGAATTTGTTGGAAAATCCTTAGTGTGGATAGCTAAGGTAGTGGACGTAGACTTTGTTTGAGAAAGTCGAACCACTGTAAATCGCTGTGCAATTACTTTCAATTTTCTGCAAAAGCTTCCACAAAATTTTTATTGCCAATTCACCCCCCTCTTGGCCAACTTCGTCATTCGATTAACTCAACAATTGGCATCAGAGCCTAACTCATTTGAAGGTTTTATCGCCTCTTGAGTCGATTCGGGAAGAGTTATATCGATTATTAAAGACATCAATGGCCTCCGCTTCAAACTTCGACTCCGGTCTCGATTCGATGCCCGTCAACAAGCCTCCTTTCTTCAATGGAGCTAACTACGCCTATTGGAAGAATAGAATGATGTACTTCATTCAAGCAAGTGACATGGGAGCATGGAATGCCGTAGAAGAAGGATACATTAAGCCTATCACTCATCCAAGGTTGTGGAGTGAAGGAGATACTAAAATGTTCCAGCTCAACTCCAAAGCCATCCATATTATCTTTTGTGCTCTTGGACCAGATGAATACGGAAGAGTTTCATCGTGTACAACCGCCAAATAAATATGGGACAAGCTTCAAGTCACACATGAAGGTACCGATGAGGTAAAGAAATCAAAAATTAGTATTCTAACGCATAGCTATGAAAATTTCAGGATAAAACCAAATGAAGACATCAAAGCTATGACGGATAGATTTTCAACGATTGTCAATGGTCTCAAATCATATGGAGAGATCATCTCAAATGAAAAGCTTGTGAGGAAGTTAGTCTACTCCCTCCCAAAATCATGGCAATCAAAGAAGACGGCAATCATCGAGTCTAAGGACCTATCGTCCTTAACTCTTGAAGAACTTATCGGTTCACTCCTCACTCATGAGATGATGCTTGAAGATGAGGTGGACCTTGATAAAGTTGAAGAGACACCAAAGGAGAAGGAGAAGAAGAAAAACATTGGAGTTGCTCTCAAATCCACAAAAGATGAGAGTGATTCTAATAATGATGATGATGACGAGGAAATGGCATTGTTTGCCAAACGGTTCAGAAAAATGACGAGACCTTACCGAGGAAGAAAATTCAAACAAAATGAAGGCCTCAAAGATGAACCAAAAGAGAAGGACCCGATCATTTGCTATGAATGCAAAAAGCCAGGGCATGTCAAATATGATTGCCCACAATTGAAGAAGAAGGGTCAATCAAAGAATAAGCACAAGGCTCATGTGGCTACATGGAGCGATGAAGAAGGTTCCGATGAAGAAGAACAAGAAGTAGCAAACTTGTGCTTAATGGCATTTGGGGAAGATTCTAAGGTAACCTCTAACTCATCTGATTTTGATGATTTATCTTATGATGAGCTATTAGAGGAATATAATGGGTTGGCTTCGGATTATGAGAAATTATTTTTAAAATATAAAAATGATGTTTCAAAGTTGAAAAATGAAAATAAACTCATATCCAAAACCAACAATGATCTTGAAAGTAAAATCAAAGATTTGCAAATCAAACTAGAAGAGTTTGAAAAGAAAAATTTAGATTTGCAAAATTTACTTTCAAAGGTCAATGATGATCATCAAAAGAAAATTGATGATCTTAAAACTTCTTTTGATAAAGTTGGAACTAAACGTTTTGAAAAAGGAGAAAATTCAAAATCCAACTTTGTTAGAAAAGATTTTAGAAACTACAATCATAGATATCCTCAACGAACCTTAAATGGTAAAATCTTTAGAAGTATATGGGTTCCTAAAGGACTCATTACTACTAAAGATAAAGATATCCTACACAAATAGATATCCTAAGGAAACTACTCAAATTCATGGTACCTTGATAGTGGATGCTCAAGACACATGACCGGAGACAAAAGTCGGTTCATAGAGCTTAACGTCAAAAATGGAGGAGAAGTGACTTTTGGTGATAATTCAAAAGGCCACATTGAAGGTATTGGTACAATAGGTAATACCTCTTCCATACAAATTAAAAATGTTTTATATGTGAATGGATTAAAGCATAATCTATTGAGTATTAGTCAATTATGCAATAAAGGATTCAATGTCTTATTTGAAATTAATGGTTGTATAGTTATTGACATTGCATCTAATCGGATTATGCTTATTGGTCATAGAATAGGAAACATTTACATGGTGCATTTAGATTCTATTGATATGACTAATTTATGCCTAGTTGCTAAGGATGAGCATGATAGTTGGTTATGGCATAGGAGACTAGGTCATGCTAGTATGAGTGTTTTGCAACGGCTAATTCAAGGAGACTTAGTAAGAGGGTTGCCTAAGCTTAAATTTGATAATGATAAAATCTGTGATGCTTGTGCTAAAGGAAAACAAAAATGAGTTTCTTTTAAATCTATTAATGATGTATCAACTAGTAGAGTATTACAATTGATCCATTTAGATCTTTTTGGGCCAACTAGAACTACTAGCTTTGGAGGAAAACAATATGCATTTGTCTTGGTAGATGACTATTCTAGATACACTTGGGTTCTATTCTTAAGTACTAAAGATGAAACATTAGAAAATTTCATCACATTTTCAAAAATAATCCAAAATGAAAAAGGTTACTCTATCACTAGTGTTAAAAGTGATCATGGAACTGAATTTGAAAATCTTGGATTTATTGAGTTTTGTAATTCTAATGGTATTAGCCACAATTTTTCAGCACCTAGAACCCCTCAACAAAATGAAGTTGTTGAGAGTAAAAATCGAACTTTAGAAGAAATGGCTAGAACCATGCTTTGTGAAAATAATTTGCCAAAATATTTTTGGGCGGAAGCCACAAATACCGCTTGTTATGTTGTAAATCGAGTAATGATTAGGCCAATTTTAAAGAAAACTCCATATGAAATTCTCAAAAATAAAAAGCCTAACATTAGCTATTTTCATCCTTTTGGATGTAAATGTTTTGTTTTAAACAACGGTAAAGAAAATCTTGGTAAATTTGATGCTAAAAGTGATGAAGGAATTTTTCTGGGTTATTCCTTAAATTCTAAAGCTTATCGTGTATTTAATAAAAGAACTTTAGTTGTAGAAGAGTCTATACATGTTGTTTTCGATGATAATCCCCTTCCGAGGAAGGATTCTTCTGTTAATGATGATGTAGGTATTGTACAAGCAAATGACGTTAGACATAACGTTGGAGAATCATCATCAAAGGAAGAAACAAAAGATGAGGAAACTCATGATCCCCTCGAGAATCCAACCATTGAAGAAATGGAAGTATCTTTTCCAAGAGAGTACAACTATGTCAAGGATGGTGAAATTATAGGTGATCCATAAAAAGGGGTAACGACTCGATCTTCTCTTAGAAATATCTGTAATTATGTTGCATTTA